GAAAAGTAGAGTCAATCACCTGAACTCTATGACACTCTTGAGCATCTCCTCTCCCTAGAAGAAAAAGCCTAATTTTCCATGGCTTTACTTCTGCATTCTACCAAACTTTTAAAGAATTAATACCAATTCTCCTCAAACTATTTCTAATGACCCAAATCAAAGGAATCCTCCCAAATTTATTTCATGAAGCCTCAATCACCTTAATACCAAAAGCAGAAAAAGACATAAGAAAAAAGAAAACCATAGACCAATATCTCTAATAAATATGGATGCAAAAATTCTCAACAAGATACTAGCAAATTGAATCCAAAAGCACATTAAAAAGATTATAGGGCCAGCCAGTGGCATTTTGGTTAGAGCGGCAGGATTCCACATGGCCAACTGTGCAATACATGTCCTGGATTCAGCAGCTTGAACAATACACCAGGCACATGTACATGGGTGCCCCAAACCCCAAAAGGATGAAGGAATGGAGAAGATATTGTGGTGTGGCCATTCCCAATAGGGGTGCTTTCTAACTTTTCCTCTCTCTCTGTCAATACAGCAAGCTCATCTACCCTTTGGCAAAATTTTAAAAAGAAAATCAGTTAGGAAACCAGGACCACATAGCGTTTATCTAAAAGATGAAAGGATGGTTCAACATATGCAAAACAATAAATGCAATGGATCAGGAGGAAAGTGTTTTTTTTTTTTCCCCCTAACCAACTGAGTTTTATTTGTTGCATAGTAAGCCACCTAACATCTTTCAACTAAAATACACACAATTTGAATAAAGGTATTACAAAATGAATTACAGCCCAATTACAATTTGTTTGGGGAGGTGATGCAATTCTACTCAATTAAGAAAGTAATTTTTTATAGACTATTGCTTAGTTTATTTTTTAACACCCATCATGCCATGAATTCATAGGAAGTAGGTTCCAGAAGCTCAGACTCCTTTTCAATGGTTCTACAAAGTGTGTTCCTTTTGGTGGAGGCAGCTGACACTTCAGTTGAATCAAGGTACCTTTCTTTTTTGGCTTTCTTCATTTCTGATCATTTTCTTCACACATTTTAGGAAACTATCTCTACTCTTAGAATGCTTAATGTGCTCAATACACATTAATTTCCTTGGCAAGAATCTTGCCCTTAACTTTCTTTGTTTGCACTAATGCCAAAAGAATGCTGGGTAACATTGTATACTTTTTCAGTTTACCATGGTAACATTTATGCAGCATTCCTTTTTGAACAGTACCCATTCCCTTGATGTCTACAATATTACCTTTCTTGTAATTTGCATATATGTTACCAAAGGAGCTACTCCATGTTTTCTAAAAGTCCTAGAGGACATATATTGGGTGCCTCTCCTTTTCCCCTTTGTGTTCATCATTTTGGAAAATTACTGGAAGATGGCAATTCTTACCAAAAGGCAAGATAAAATCTTTATGATCAGGCCAATAGCTGGCGTAGTGGTTAAGAAACTAGATCCCTGGGACCAGCAGTTAGCATAATGGCTATGTTGCTGAACTCCCATGTAGTCAACCATGGTTTGAGTCCTGGATCCAGAGGCTTAAACTCACGCCGGGCGCGTGTGCATGTGTGCCCAAGATTTCTAAAGGAGAATGGAGAAGGGATTGTGGTGTTGTCATCTCCCATGGGGGGTGATTTCTCGCTTTCTATCTCTCTGTCTCTCTCTGTCTTTCTGGTGAGCACATGCACCCTATAGCAAAAACCTGTCCAAAAAAACACTAGATCCACGAGGCTGTTCAAGTCTCAGACCTGGCAGCTTCAAAAACAAACCAGGTGCATGTGCATGTATGGCCAAAATCTTGAGATAATGGAGAAGAAGGAGTTGGCCAACACTTTTGGATGATAATTTCTTACTTTCCCTCTATCTCAGTACCTATCTATCTCTTATACCCTATGACAAAAATTTAATAATAATAATAGTAACAACAACAACAAATCTTATGATTAAACCAATAGATTTAGAAAAAAACTTTTGAAAAAAATACAACCCTTCATGACTGACACACTAAATAAAGTAGGTATAAAAGGTACATTTCTCAACACAATTAAAGGCATCTATGTAAAACTCACAGGTAACCAAACTAAACAGAAACAAATGGAAAACTTTCCCACTAAAAACTGGAAAAGGATAGGATTTTCTACTTTCATCACTCTGTTCCATATAGTATTGAAAGTCCTTTCCAAAACAATCAGAAATGAAAGTGAAATAAAGGCATTCAAATTAAAAAGGAAAAAGTTAAATTGTCCCTATTTGCAGACTACATAATTATATACACATAAAGTCCTAAAGAATCTACAGAAAAAGAAAACTAAGAACAACTCTTATAAGTGATAAATGAATTCTTAAAGTTGTAGAATATAAAATTAATGTTATAAATATATAGTATTTTATACACCAATAATTAATAAAATGCAAATTGAGAAAAACAATTCAGGAAAATAAATAAAATAAAATGCTTAAAATACTTAGGAATAAATATATCTAAAGGGGCAAAAGTGCTTTGCAAAGAAAACTATAAAAAGCCAAGAAAGAAATTGATAATAATACTAAAAAACGGGTTTGTGTAAATGAAGACATCTTTTTAATTGTTGGGAGAATCCATACATGTAAAATGTCAATCCTACTCAAATTAATCAACAAATTTGTATAAATTAACAGTGACATTCTTCAGAGAAATAGAAAAATGATCATAAAACTTGTAGAATCATAAAAATCTCTGTATCACTAAAGCAACACTGTGCAAAAGGTGAAGGCATCTCACTACCTGTTTTCAAAATATATTACATAGTAGTGATAATCAATATAGCATGGTACTATAACAAGAACACACAAACAGACCAATGGAACAAGCTCAAACTGAAAACATACAAGTAACTGATTTTTGACAAAGTACACAAGACAATTCAGTGAAGAAAAGAAGTATTTTCAGTAAGTGGTGCTGGGAAAACTGGATATTCACCTACAGAAAAACCAAACAAGCCAGACCCCTATTTATCACCAAAAACAAGTCAACTCAAAATGTATCAAAGGTGAAAACATAAATTTTCAGATATAAAGCAAACTGTGGAAAACACAACCTTATGTAAAGCAAAGGAAACAATAAATTAAGTAAAGAAATAGTTCATAGAATGGGAAAACATTTATAAACTGTACTTCAGATAAGAGATTAATAATCAAAATATATGAACACTGAAGCAATTTACCTCTAAAAATCTAATAATCCAATTTAAATAATAGGCACATGATCTGAACAGACAGCTCTCAAAGGAAGCCATACTAAAATCTAAACTACAATGAGCTATCACCTAACCCCACTAGTGTGCTGGGCATTTGCTTTTCAAAAATTTGAGTAGTTGACATGTAAATATTTTCTCAAAAATATTTAAAACCATACTCTTTCTGCTGTTATAGAGTCACAAACAAAATTATAAGAAATATTTTTAACATTATCTTTAAAATTAAGTATTTTGAAATTTTGAAAATTGTTTATTAACTGTCAAGAACTATGGATTATGAGCAAATTTTTTTGATATGTAAAGTAAATGTGGAAAAATGTAAAAATAAATAAATTAATTAATTTAAAAAGCCAAAAAAATGATATTATAAAACAAACAAACAAATGAAAACAAATGCTGACAAGGCTGTGATGAAAAGCAAACTCTCTTGCATGGTTGGTGGGGATGTAAATTAGTAAACCACTGTAAAAAATAATATGGAAGTTCCTAAATACTTTACAAATGGAACTACCATATGACCCAGTATCCTACTCCTGGGTATTTACCCAAAACACAGGAAATCACTTAGCTAGAAGGACATTGCACATCTATCTTTTTTTCTTTTAATTTTTAAAAGAATTATTTTATTTAAGTTTATTTATTTTTACTTATTTTTATTTGACCAGAGAGGGACAGAGTGAGAGAGAGAAAGAGAGAGAAAGAGAGAGAGGGAAACAAAGAAAGAGAAAGTGAGAAGGCAAGCTGCCAGATCTGGGATTTGAACCATGGTCAGCCATGTGGGAGTCTAGAGCCCTTAACTACCACGTCATCTGCCGGCCCCAGCATATCCATCTTTATTGCAATCTTATTTATAATAGCCAAGACATGGAATCAACTTAAGTGAGCAACAACTGATGACTGGATTTTTAAAAATTTGGCTCATATATACAATGGAATATTGCTTAGCCCCAGAGAACAATGAGATCCTGTCATTTAACACAAACATCAAATCTAGAAGATGTAATGGTAAGTGAAATAAGTCATATTACAAAAGACAAACTACTGGATATCTTTGCTCGATGTGTACTGAACATCTGTACAACATGGCAAAAATTAAAACATTTGAAGGCATAGAAATTAGAGATGACATCTGTGGATGTCAGATACTGCATAGGGAGTGCAGAGTGAGGAGACCTGGACAGGATCCAGTAAAAAAGCATGTAACAAACTCAGGAACACAGGTAGACAGGGAAAATCGGTTGTGGAATGGCATACCATAACTGAGTGAAGAAAACAGATATTATCATTCTTATATGTATCTCAAATATGATGTTCATTGTTGAAAGTGGGGAGTATGGTATTATCACTGATTTGATTGTCACACACTTCATGCATGCTATGAAAATCTAGGTTGTGTCCCATTAAAAATGCACAATTAAATATACATAAGAAATTATAAAATAAAATAGCAAAGATAAAGCAAAACAATGCTTGCAGAGCTAGGGAGGCCTTTTACTTTTGTACTGTACATGCTTAGAGTGTTTTACTTTTTTATTTAAGAAACTCATTTTATCTGTAATTTTCTATGTAAGACAAAATAATAGGCTTAACATGTAAAAAGAGAAAAAGAAAAAAGAGAAATTTGTTTAGGTGAGAAAGAATGAGTGTCTTTCAATGCAAACATTGAAATGGTGACTTAGACCCTGAAATCCTTTATATTTATATTATTTTGCTCTAAAAGTCATGAAACAATGTGTCATGTCAAAGTCACTTACCTGTGAAGCCCAAGTTATAACCAGTAGTAAAGTTTGCTTTAAACCCTCTTTTGGTCAACATTTCATTGGTGATGAAAAGCACAGTCATTCTATTCGTGGTAGAGAACACATCCTTTACTGGGTCAGATCCAGTATACACAGCTATTCCAAAGGAAAATGAGACAATTGGTAAGATGATTGTTTGACTTTAGAAGAAAATATACACCTTGCCTCGATTTCATCTTTAAGTTGTAAAGCTATGAGCAACATGGCTCACTCATGAAGGACCTACACATAAGTAAATGTGCATTTTCTTTTACAGTTTGTATATTGAGTCTATAAAGTCAACTTATTCACTGGTCTTTTCGATATTACTTGAAGATTTTACAGTTTTTTAATTTAATGATTCAAAATAATGTCTGCATTAATACTAGTACTCTTCAAACTCGTGTGATTCCAGAAAAAATATAATTTAGTGATGAATTTAATGATTCAAAATAATGTCTGCATTAATACTAGTACTCTTCAAACTCGTGTGATTCCAGAAAAAAAAATATTTACTTTTCAAAACAATGGACATTACAGTCATCCTTAGTGACTTTTTATGTCCAAATTTATTTGGTATTTTTGTGAATTGAATCATGAATCTAAACTAAAGGATGAATTAATTAGTGACAGAGAATATAAAGCTAAATGGAGGTTTTCAAACTTTTTCCCACTAATTCTTGGGTTTTGGAGATTTCATAAACAATGAAACATTTAAAGAAACAACAATTCGCTCCTCTCACAGCCTGTCTTGTCCCCAGCAGCAGGCCACAGACAGACCCAGTGGCAGGCCTCTGGCCAGCCAGCGATTCTGAGGCAGGGACATCACTGCCCACCTATCTCACCTGCAGATCCCAGTCCAAGTGCCCACCCCCTACGTAGGTAGGTCACCATTACTTTCTGCTTTGGATTTTAAGCTCCTTTATTCTCTTATTAATTTTCTGCTCTTCCTCCTCTGACAGCCTGTTCTGTCCCTGGCAGCAGGCCACAGACAGACACAGAGGCAGGCCTCTGGCATAACCGCGTGTGTTTTGTTTTGTTTTTCTTGTGTTGTTTCACTTAATACCCTCTCCTCTTCATCTTCCACCCTTTCAGAAGGACTAGACAGGTCTATAATCAGATATCTGAAATCCCTTAACAACAATACTTTCTCTGGGATCTTCCCTTGTACTGATCCACCTGAGAAAAAGGAGATTAATTTGCAGCAAAAGGGAAAGTCACTTACTCCTAGTCGGAGTAACCTTCCCGCAAGAGGTATTCAAAGTGACTACATCTTCTAATGGCTAGAAGTAGAAGAAGAGCCTCAGGTATGAATAAACAAGGAAATACATCTCCATCAAAGGTACAGAATAGCTCCCCTCCATCTTTCATGCTAATGGACGATGCTACCAAAATGTCAGACAAAGAATTTTGAACATTTATGGTGAATGAATTCTTTAAGTTGGAACAGAAAAGAGACAACGAACTCCAAGAGATGAGGAAGTCATTCCAAGATATGAAAGAAGAAATGGACACTCTGAGAAAGAACCAGATGGAGCTATTAGAGATAAAGTCTGGAATAGAGGAAATCAAAAACTCCCTTGAAAGTATTAAAAGTCGATTAGACCATGCTGAAGATCGAATCTCTGATGTAGAAGATAAAACCTCTGACCTAGAAAGAACCACCAAAAAGATAGAGAAAATAACAAAAAGAAGAGGATAATATACAAGAAATACTAGATTCCATAAGATGCTCAAATATCAGAATAATTGGCATCCCAGAAGGTGAAGAAACTAATAAGGGCATGGCAAATCTATTCCATGAAATCCTGGAAGAAAATTTTCCGAGTCTAGAGAGGCACTCAAGCATCAAGACCCAAGAAATACAAAGGACCCCAGTTAGAATCAACCCCAGAAGATCTTCC